CATTTGTGGTAAGAGAAGGTACTATTACCCTGACCTGAGTAGTTTTGCTTAAAATATAGCTAGATCCTTATGTAACAGGCACCAAACTACTCATAGGGGAAAGAAAAAAAAAAATACCACCTATGAAGATATAGGTGAGCTTTAATGGCTGCTATCAGCTCTTGAGTGAGTACACTGTATGTCTCTCCAAAGGTAGGGTAGTGTTTTGGTTTTTTCTTTTTTTTTTTTTTTCTTTCCAACCCAGAGAAAAGATAGTTGCAAAATAATCTTGAAGGAAAACCTTGGTGAGGAAAGGGAGTTCTCACAGTGAGGAACGAGCCTTCCTGTGACCAGAAGAGATGCCTGTCATGGGTCTGGAAAGAAGCAGGAGCACCTAGACCACAACTAGCAAGGGAGGGCTGTGTCCTTTAAGGCACTATAACTGACATCTGTGGGAACACTTTGCTCTCTCCCTTCCCCATCTCTTGCCCAAATCGTCTCACAGTTCAGCAATTTAATAGGTTTGGGGACTTTTTCTTTTTTTGAGTAGGCTTTGGTTTAGCGAATTACTGTTTTGCTGTGATTTAGCTACCTAAGCGTGGTCAGGGCCCTCTGCTCAGAACTCACAAGTGCCTCTCTCAGTCGGCCCAAAAGGAGCTCAGGCAGCCAGCTCTTCACCACCCCTCTCTCTTTTCCACCCATCCCTCAGCCACTCTCCTGCTTTGCAGGTAGCTTTGCAGCACAGCACCCACCCGAACCTCTACTGGTTGCGGTACAGCCTCCACTCCAGCTCCCGGTCTCCCAGCCTCTTGCTGCCCGACTGCAGAACCACCGTACCAGAGGCACATGCTGTAATCCAAAAAACTGCCCCTTGTGCAGGCCATCCAAGAGCAAGGCAAGTCTCTTGAGGTAGATGAAAAAAGCTTTAGCTCAGATAGATCCAATATTTCTTAGAGTGGTGGTGTGGGACCCGGGAAGGAGGGGGACAGTAAACGTTAAGCTCTACCACCATGGGACTGCTGCCTCGGCAGGGGCCCAATTTGGTGTGAGTAACAAATGGAGTTTCTAAGAGCTTAAATTTGAGCTGGAAATAAATGAAAAAAACAGTGCCGACTCAAGGGGGACCCTTTATCTTCAGAAAGACACCATCTTTTTGAGGCAATAGACTTGCCATTGGATGCCTTTACAAGTAGGTTGGGTGAATGCCAGGTACAGGAAAGGTACCGATGGGTCTGTCATAAGCAAGAGAATCTCTTGGAAAACCTGTTCTGTAACGTGAATCCCATTTGATTGATGGGTGGCAGACCTGAATGGTTTGAGGCATGGTGTTCTGCCTCCTCCCATTGCTGACCTGTTTACACTGTCTCCAGAAAAACTTAGCTCCATCAGTTTTCACTTATTCTGTCCATAGTAGTTTAAAATTGGTGTAACTTAAGTAACTGATATAATGGACTTGCCACAAACTTGTCTTTGCTTATTAACCTAGAGGATGCAACAAAATAATTGCAATGCAAAGGCTTGCTATATCTTCTCTCAATTAAATTAATAACTGCTTCCAACTTTTTAAGCGGATCACTGAAAAACTGGGCAAGAAAAAACGTCAGTCTGTGGAAGATGTCAATAATTGTATTCCCACTGCCACTGTTGGTTAATACTTAACTAAGTTTTGGAAGTGCTTTGGGATGATGAAAGGTGCTACAAAAAAAGCTAACCACCACCATGCCATGACACGTGACAAAGTACTATGCTTGTGAAAGGCTTTAATTTGCAAGCAAAACAACATGAATCTTTTTAGCTCCTCATAAAAAAACAGACTGTTATTCTCAGTAAGCCACATCTGGTGCTCAGGTATGAAAGCCCTTATTTAGATGCCGCATTTGTTTAAGAAATGGTGAGTGATATGTGGTGTTGGTGATCAACAAAGGCTCAGAATTTTGTCCATGAGGATTACATTGCAGGATTACAGCTAAATCAAATTGTAGTACAAATTACAGCTAAGTCAAATTGATGTTGCTGCAGTAAATGGGGGGAAGAGGGGACCAATGGGGTGTTTGACCTCTAAGACACACCCAGACAAACAAACAAACAAACATAGTTAGTCCAGAATTCTGAAAAAGCTGAGTGTGCCACTGAAAAAAGGAGCAGTGGTGAAACTTATGCTGGGAATCCGCTCTGGGAGTGCTGTGGGTCAGCTTTGGTGGTGCACATAGTGGGCTACTTCACATTATATGGGTGTTTGAAAACAGGCTGGGGAGAAGCTATATAAAAGAGAGACATGTTCAACCAAATAGGTTGGGCCTCAGTAAAATGAAAGGGGAAAATCTATGTAGCAGCTTGTATCTTAGGATCATAACATGGTACCACCAGCTGCAGTCAGCCCTTAATGCTGTTCTTGAGAGAGAGAGGTTTGCAAATAACTTTTAGCATCCATGCTGCAGATTCAGTGAAAAGGGTAGAATGTGTGTATGTGACAGTCCTACCAGGTTGCTGGACAACACTTTAATGATATAAAACATATATATATATATATATATGAAGACATTATAATATGCAGATAATACTTTTTAATGCATGTTGTTACCCTAATAGCAATTTCTTGAGACTGTTACGTAGGCAGTGTTAGTAGGAACAGGTTACAAACCTGAGCCAAATGCACTACTGGAAGGCACGGACAAGCCAGAGGAGTGAGTGATACATAGTCTGATTGGGTAAAGGACTCTGAAGCTCCTCGCTACCACCACCTGGGGAAAAGGTAATACATCCACATAACTCGGAATTACTGTCACTGTGCTTCCAAAAAGGCAAGGGAAGAGAAGCCCTGTTTCCACTGATCTCTTCACAAAGGTTTTACTTTGATCACAGGAGCCTGAACAGGATGTGGTGCTTAGGGAGCAAACGGTTGCTAGCAAACTACAGCATAGCCTGACAGTGAAGAGAGAAGGCAGTTATTTCATTATTATTCCTTTTATTTTCATATAAATTAACATTCTAAAAAAATTGAAATAGAAACACTAAATACAGTATTGCACATAGTGATCTTTGTTAGATGATCTATTATTTCATTTAGTATAGTAATATACATACTGTAGGTACTGAAGGGAACAGGAAGGCTACAAATGAAAACATGCTACTGTATCCTTGCACTTAGGAGCAAAGTTAAGAGGAAAAGACTGTTGTTTACATAAATACAAACATGGATTTGAATCAGTGCCATTAAAATAGCTTTATTTTTTAAAGTTTTTTCCATAAGTTAGTTGTAACAGCAAATAATCTCTTCTTTCCCTTCCCCAAATAGTAATGTTACTCCCATCAACAGAAAATTTTAGAACTCCATTCTTGGTAATTTATATCCCTGCCAGAAATTATTACAAGTACAGATTTTCACATAGGTTTGTCAGCAACAGGAGACTTGCTTTTCACATAGTGAAAAAAACATCTTTTCTAGTGCTTGGTATATGTGAAGAATAACAGATTCCTGAGGTCATATTTCGCACTTCCTTTTATGACACCCCGTAGGGTACATTAGCCTCTGGACAGCTAGGAATGTCTCTTGATGTGCTAGATTAGACAGGGAATAACCCAACCCAGCAGGTTAGAGCTCATTTGCCTTACCCCAGTGTCGTTCAGGCTCCAAGGCTGTGGAGCATGTGCATCCAATTCAGTTGCACACGCAGCCTGCTTTCAGGAAAAGTGCGCTTTGAAAGAAAAATGTTATCAATCGGGCTGATTGGTTTGGGGCTCTTAAATTAGGACTGGAGGAAGGGGTTGTTATCGGCTGAGCAGATCAAAACTGATATAGTAAATTCTGGATTGCAAATAGGTATTAAGCATGTGGTCTAAAATGGAAGCCCTAAGTCATAGATTTCAATCATTAACCTCCTAGTCAGGGACACCAAAAGCCTGGAGGAAAAGTCTGCAATTCTGTTAAGTGTGAAATCGATGTCAATTAGTTGGTAGTCTATGTTCTGTCACTAGAATTGGCTACTGTTTTCCATAAGCGTCAATCCCCATGTGCATCTTTTAATGGCTCTCTAAAGGAGTTTTAAATTAACTGTAAAGCTAATTCCAAAAGGGAAGTCATGTACATGTTGCCAAAAGCCTCTCTGACTTAAGTGATCAGTAGTTAAGACTATACTATACCTTCTAAAGTTCATGTAAAAGTATTAGCTGCTTTATATATTAACAAACTATAATAGCCAAATCTCTCTCATACTCTCTATCATACTTCTGTGCTTTTCTGTACTTTCCTGCTTTTCACTTACTCTTTTTTTTGTTTTTCTTTTTTTAATGTTGGATTTCTGACCCCCTTACCACCTGGCATTCACTATCTGGCAAAAGATGAAGTAAAAATATGCTGCCTTATCGATTTTAAAGATAGTTACAGTAAACATCTTGTTCCACAAATATTTAATCATGGAGGGCAACCAAACAAGTTGGGAAAGCATTGATTATACTGTATAAACAGCACTTAACGATTCAAAATACAAACTACAAATGCCAACATGAAACGGATACAAACAATTCACTAGGAGTAACATTTCTTTCCCTAATCTAAGTGCAGTGCCATGAAGTATTTGTGTTAGACAGATGTTGCCAGTAGGAATGGAAATGTTTTACTGTATCGAGTAGCATTCTTATGAAGTTCAACTTAATGCAGTTTTCAGCATGTTCAGAACTGATGCAGATGCCACTTTTTATGCATGCTGACTTGGCCTATTTGGAATATACCATACACTTTACAAAATACCATTTTTGAGTGGCAAAGGAGATACAGAGTACAGGGAAGGTGTTTCAAGTCCATACCTAGTCTATTGCTGGGCACTCCATTAAAGTGATTACATTCATGAATGAATGTACAATAACACATCAATTGGTGGAAAACTCTAGAGAACAAAAAGCAAATTCAAAAAGGTCAAGAAAGCAAATGATCAGGATGATGTAGTTTCCTTCCCCCTCACTCCCCACCCACAGGCATGTTGAGTTTTGGTAACCAGGTAACAATGGCTTTTGCTTTTCTTCTCTCAGATTTTCATACTTATCTTTGCTTTCTGAAAAATAAAATTAAAAAAAGCAGAAAATTGAGTATACATAAAACCACCTCACACAACTATGAAAAGCACAGAAATACATAGGCTAATGTTCAATTATACTTACTGTAGAATTCACTTCACAAATTTCCTTTGAAGCTAGAACTGAAGAAGACTGCAGCAACACACTGCTTGTGAAATATTTTGTTTACTTTCTTTTTCACTCTATCAAATTTTCAGTAACACTGAAAGTCCCAGTTTCAGTGCAAATAATAATGATAATGATACAGGAATAATTAAGCCTACAGCTATTTCTTAAAAAAAAAAAAATAATCTCAGTGTCTTTACATACAGCAAAGTATAAGTGAGACAGAGAAATCCAAATAAATGTTAGTTTGGGGTTTTTTTTTTAAATAACATCTTGAACCGGTTTCAAATAAAATTGATAAAATAAAATCTAGCTTATCATTCCTAACCAAGCTGTTACTCCATTTACATTTCTTGTGGCACTAATCACAGCCAACTGTCCCTAGATATTCAGAATAAGAAACAAAAAATGCAGTATTATTTCTTCCTGTGACAGATTATGTTAGTTCAAATATAGTGAATTACCACCTGCTTCATTTCAAGGATGTGTCACAGTAACATAGCCATGACTAGAAAGCACAAAAGAAAGAAATCATGCCTTTGGCCCGAGTGGGGCAGACAGGGACATGGACACATGAAAAAATCTTCTGTTATAATATTTTACAAGTGTAATTGATGGCCAGTTGCTACAGGTCTAATTTTAATACAGAGTGCCAGACTAATTTTTCACTAGAGGAATATTCATTTTCTGTAAAATCAGTCATGATCCTAGCAATGCTTAGGCAATCATAGTGGAAAAGTTTCATTGAATGACTAGAATTACTCTTCTACTATCACTGAAGTTATTTATCTGTTTTCAGAAGAATGGTGAGAGCACAGTATTATCTTTTTCTAGGGTTTCTATTCCAAGGAACAGAAGCCACTAGTATTTGAGACAGGGATCCAACTTGAAAAATGTGTACCTATCACAACTCTTCCTTACATTTTGTAACTGTAGAAAAGAGAGCGAATACAAAATGAATAAGCTTGAACTGGAAACCACCAACACCACGACTGGGATGCAGACAGATTGGCAGGGTGGGGCAATAATATGCTGCTCTTGCTTGTGCTACATCTATTTTGTGGAGTAATATTCATAGGCAGTGTTCAAGGTTGTTAATCTAACACCTTTTATGAAAATGTTAAACATTAAAAAAACCCAACAACCCAGAACAAAAAAGTACATCAGGAATAACATATCTAAAAATGCAAAGAGAAAAAGGTAAAACGACTGATGGGAACAGAAGTATTGCTACAATTTTTACTTACAATTCCGGAGTCATGTTTTGGTCTTATATTGTAGAGCGACTTCCCCTTTTTCTGCCTGCAGACCTCCTCTGCTTCTTTAACTCTGAAGAGAGACAAAACTTATAAATATTCTTGTAGAGCAAAACTATTTCCAAAGACAGTGCAGTATATAACTTACAAATTTAGACCTGAGGACACAGGTGGATAACTTTATTCCCCATATTTTCATTAGCAAACACCACAAAATAGCACTTGCACTCTGTGGCTGTTGTTGCCATACCATCAGCCTCTGGTACTTACAAGGACAGGCATAATCAATGGCATAATCAATTCTAGTTGCAAAAGCAATCAGTACTTACTGTAGTTGAATTTTCAGTTGTGTCAGGATTTAAAATACACTGGTTGACATGAAGTTTACCTTTCAGAGAATTCATACCAAACACTGCTAAGAAAGCTCCTTTTCTTTTTATGACTGTTTAGAAATCATTCTTCATCCATTCCCAACCTCAGTACTTCAACTACAGTTTAAACAAATTTCTCACCAGACTATCTTCCCTTTCACCTAATTTTGTTTGTATTTAAAATGGCAAAATAGCTTAACCTATATTTCCAGTCTCCACTCCCTAACTGAAAATCAAAATGGGAAATTGCCATGGAACATGGAACATGACATTTACAACCAAGGTGGTGCACGTCACTGCACACATCTTTCTTTCCAAAGCAGAGGGTGAGCACCAAGGCTTACATGACCTTGGTGAGGATGAATGCACTTGGGCTGCTTGGATGTGAAGAGAAAAGCGGGTTCCAGAAATGAGGGTCCACTTCTCAGTGTTCCTTACTTGGCAAATGGTATCAAATTAGGGCCTTGTAAAATGCCACCAAATGCCACATTTTTTTGCGAGATAAACGCCCCTTTCGTCATGCAGATAGGGAACAAACTGTGAAAGGCAGAGGGCTGTACTCAGACTGGGAGCCTGCCAGAATCAGTCTGGTGGGTTCAATGGCACACTGTAAAATGTTTCTTTACCATTTTTACTCTTTTTGTAGATCAACATTACAAACACACATGGTTATTGAAACACTGATAATACACATTTAAGTTATGAATTCTCTGAGCTTCAAAGACTTACATAAATCCTTCCTATATGATGGCATTAAGTGGTGTGAGATGTGTAATTTTTTTTTATGAGATGAGAATATTATTTATAAATAAGAAGGTAGAAAATAAAAATGTAAATCCTATGTTGGCTTGCTCTTGCCAACAATATAGACTTTAGATGGCACATACTCTGCCTTTTCATCAGTATCCAACAGTGAAAAAAGAAACAACAGTAAAATGATATTGAAGAAATGATATATCCTTGGCTGGCTCCTTGCGGTTCATCTCCAGACTACTTGCATGTCTGCTATTTCACTGAGACTACACAGGGCAATGTGAGAATCAGACTTTGTGTTACTATTATTTTTAAATATTTTTGTGTGTGTGGTAAGGGCCAGATTTTGAAAATAAGTCTCCAGCTGGGTCTGCTAAGCACATTAAAAAAAAAAACGCCTTCGCATTCATCTCTCCTTTATCCAACTTCACCAGACACACCTCGTTCTTTTCATAAGTTTCAAATTTATACTTTCAAAAATTAATTTAAACGTCAGTTCTTTTCTAGCACTTCCAACAAGCTGCTCCCTTCATTTGATAGCCTTATATTTTATTAATGTAGGAAGACCTTTACGTGCACAGGTGGGGGAAAAAAAGGCTTTGCAACCTATTATTTTCAAGTTGTAACACTTTCTATCTGACTGCAAATCAGATAGATTGCTGCAGCATAATATAGAACAAAAATGTCAAACAGCCAAGTAATTCACCTTTAAAACATATTTAAATAGATTCAGTAAAAGTGGCAGCCAAAATGTGGTGATAGCTTTAAAAAGAAGCTTATGGGAATGATACAGAATGCAGTAAAATTCAAAGACATTTTCTTTTTCCTAAAATGCCACCTTTTCTTCTGCTTTGTGTCCACTTACATCCAAAGGAGGAAAAGTATCTGTGACATTGATCTTCCCATGATCTTTTCCAAACAGTCAGACACATTCCAACCCATCAAAAGCCACTCTTACAAATTTCCTTTTTCTCAGATACAACTATAGCTGGCTCTCTTCACTGGTGGACATCATTTAAATAAGAAAATGAAATGTTACTTGGGAGTAAATTAGTGTCAAATCTCAGGGACTGTACAAGTACTGCTGAGGTTATCAAAATGACTGTTTTATAGAAGCAATGTAATATATGCAGGTATTCAGACTACTCGTCATGCAAATGACAGCATATGTAACATACAAAAATATTTACCAAACCAGTTCACACAGATCCAGATGTTATTCTCAGGAAATGTCAGGGAATCTTTAGTTCCAGTCTTTGTTCCATCTAAATATCCCCCGTCCAGGACAGATTACCCACTGCTTGCCTAACATACCAGGTCATAAGACAGCACAGCTCTCTGTGGGTGTCACGTTAATTCAAATCAAAAATCCTCATATGGAATGGAACCGTTGACAATGCAGTGATAGGCGTTATTTTCTAAAAAGCAGGTCATGTTAAGTGTCACTGTCAGCATAACATCCCTAAAATGTTCTGCTTCTATTAGAGAAATAGCGATTTGGAGAAAGGCTGTCTCCACTTGAAACAGCAAAATGCTACTAACAATGCCACTCTGTGAGGGAGGACATCAGAACTTCTGGGTCCCTTAGATTGCGCTTGAAAAAATGATCCACAACTTCCAGACTGATAAATGACAGCCTTAAGCTTGTGCCACCCATTTTTCTAGGATTATGTAAGAGGTTCTGGTCTCACTAGTATGGTTGCGGTCCTCAAGTTTTTGGGAGCTTTTGTGAAATTCCTTGGAGTTTGAGCCTATTTATTCATACCGACGGGAATGCAGAAGATGAGAAGCATTACTCCCTAATGCACTTAAGACAAAGCTGAGAGCTAGCAGCCGCTCAGTTCCAGTTCCAACCATATCACTGACTCACTGTGTGGGTTTGGGACAGCTCGCTGTCTCTTGGCCCCCATCCTGCTCTCTGTGCAGGAAGATTAAAGTGGTTGGATAGAGCCTTACTGAAGCCAATACAACCTACATGTATGTTTCTTCAGCAAGGAATGTCCTTAGAAATGTAAAGATAGCACGCCAAAGGCTCATTGTTAGGAGGCTTAGTTTATGACCGTGTTAAAACTGGAAGCACGGAGAACTGTATAAATCTACAGCAGTATCTATAAAAGAAAAGTCAGCCGACTGGTGAAATATAGAGACAAAGGCAATTGTTAGCCTTCCACAGTGCTAAATCATAAACCAACGGAACTGGCATCAATTTCTAGAGTGTGCAAGTGTATTTTCTGAAGACTGATCATTCAGCTAAATTAGGATTTTATTAAATGTAAAATTAAAATAACCTGATGCTTCTGGAAGAGAAAAGGATGTGTTTTGATATGAACATCAGTACCATTTAAACTGCAAGATCTAGAAAAGCAGATAAAAGGTTACCTTTGAAGTAAGGGCAATAGTCTCAATTCAGTTGGAAAATAACTTTTAATTGCCACTGGTGATTTTTTGTCAACTTCTTGGGTTTTCTCCACTGGCCCTGAATGATTCTTCATCTTCATGGGGGGGAAGCTAACCAGATTTAGGCAAAACCATCTTGCTTCTGTCAACTCATGCCTGGTTCAAGTTGTATTTCTCACAGTGGCTAATTCCTGCCTACCTTCCTCTCTTGCTCAGGCTTTTCCTGCACTACTTCTCACTGACTTCAGTGAGAACCTGCTCAGCGTGGGGGTGCAAGATAATAACCTAAGATCAAAAGGTACAAAAATTGTATGAACACTAGTGGTTATATCAGGAAGACTGGGTTAACTATTCAACTATGGTGAGTCGTTAGAGCTTCATGAAGAAATTAATGCATCTAATTCAATACTGGGAGGAGGGAAGACGATATTTGGAGAAAACAACACAAGAGCTATGAATCTGTGAGCCTCCCAACAGTCACAAAAGGGGAAGCAAATGCAGACAGTGACATACTTCCAGGCTGCAGGCCAAAGCGACACTGCTGCTCTGCCAATGCAGAGCACAAAGAGCTCAAAGAGCATGAAACAGTTAAAAAGACATTCCTAGGAAAGGAGTGGGGATTCGATTGTCAGGCCCTGTGTGGAAAGATAGACTACCACCGGGAGAGGCTGTGGAAAAAGAGTCTCAGGAAGGTGGGTGTTCCCCAGTTCCTGAGGATTATGACCCTTAGGCAAAGGCAGGCATCTGTATAGATTGATTTATTGTTCTGAAAATCTGTTTTTACTTAAACTATTTAGTTCTACGCTAATACTTTCTGTTATAGAGGCTGTTTGGTCCCTTTATAGAGCCATTGCTCTCAAGTGCAACCAAATACTCAGAAGCAGGACAGATGCTGAAGGCATGATTTGAGAGTAGGTAAGTAAGATGGAGGTGACAAGGGACATGGTGTGCTCTTCAAGAAGCCATGTGATACAGTTAACTTGGTAAGTGTGATGGGAATAATTTGCAAGCTGACAGCGTGCTAAGCTTCTTTGCTAGACTGATGCTCAGACCATCTCACTTCATACTTTGCAGCTGCTTCTCAAACTCAACTTTCTTTCAGTAAACTGACTTTGGTTCATTTGCTATCAACTCCTGTCCCATCTCATGTCAATTCTGGCTTAAAAGTGAGTGTATCAGTTTGCTAGGAAAGATAACATCAGCTGCATTACCTTTAACAATTTTTGCCTGTTACTCTTCCCAAATAATTTCTTGATTTTGTCTTAATGAGAACATAGTCCTAAAAACTAGTCTTCTCAGCATAGACAACCAGAGAGTTGCTTAATTCTCACTGTAGTAATCTGAAGAGCAGAGGTGTTAAACAGCAGTGGACCCAACATCAGGCCCGGGGCAAATTCTATAAATACTTAGTAAGACTGTTCATAACTCGAATCTGGACAAATGGATCTCCTTAAATATTAAATTTAGCTAAAGCATTGCTTGCATTATTTCAGAAAGGATATACTTCCAAACAGCTCCCACAATAAGAAAACATGTAGGAAACATACAACAG